TAGAAAGGCATATGCATAGAGTACCCTAAAATCAAATAAACATTTACACTATTGATACAGGATAGCCACGAAGCCGGCTGACCACCAGCAAGTCTTCGGGGCAACTACTGCTCAAGCAAACCCGCCGTATTTTCTGACTCTGTAGGGGCGTTATGGCCGTTTTGAGATATGGTGCGTATAGATAAATAAAATTCATTAGTTAAAAACAGCAGAGGCGCAAAGAGAACGAGTGTGAATTGAAATATATTACGTCGTCATGATTCACTCTGCAGAGACTGGCATTGGCCCACTTCTTCTCTCGTAGCAGCAACGAGATCAGTATCGTAGATTAGATCTAAATTCCATATTAGACCGTGTCCCAGCCTTGCAATTTGTATTAATTACTGTCCCCAGACATCCGACGATTTGATGAAAACACACGAACATGTTGTACGCAAAAGACGAAGTCTGCTGCCCGCTATCCACGCTGGGATAACGGGTCTCACTAGTCAGGAGTTTTAGATCGGAAGAGGCTGAAATTTATAATGGAACTCTAGACATAGTGGCACAGACTTCTGCTAGAAAAGGTGTGAATGCCTTTTTAACTTCGTTCTTCGGTACAGGTCAAAGTTGCGCACAAAATGTCGAACGCCTTCGGTTCTCTACGTTCGTCGTGCCATTATATCGTATTAGAATTGGACAATCAGCATTGGTATCGTTTCCCAAATCGATTCAGTATTAGCAGCTATTAGATAGACAGTTAACCGTAGTTAGATGCGACCTTCGGCACGCTAATATCTCAACCCGCTAGACAGCTCACGGCCTGTCTATGAAGAGCTCTTTTTGCTTAAACGGCCATAAACAACGAAATCGGTGAATTGTCGTCGAACGCAGCAGGAATCAATATGCTGGAGGATTTTTTTTGTTATTGTTTGATGACGCGGCTTTTTGCACGCTGCTATTCAAAATAGCACGATGCGGCAGCGATAACCCGATGAAAATATTCCCAGAGGACCGTTCAAGGCGAACGGTGTAGTTATGGCCGAACGGCTGTTATTGTCGTTACTGGTGAAATCGCTCGCGCCGCTGCCGTCACCTCAGCGTCTTCGCTAGCGTGTCCCGCTCCCGGCAACAAAGCGACCATCTAGCTATACACGTTACTTGACTTCGAGAGAGCGTATTCGCTTTCAAATGACTACATTGCACCGAGCAAAGTTGCGGGGTACACATTCTCTATAGTGTGCTTCCCATCTGCCTGATTTTTCGAAGTGCAACACTCATACCGCTGAGCTGCGGTTCCCCCTCGCACTAGCAGGACGAAACGCTCACTACAAAACCTAGCCCGCACTAAGTAGAAAGTCATTTTCATCGATTATGTACATTCAGAACCTATATAATAGAGGCTCTTATATCGTCTTCCGTCAGTAGTCAACGTAGTAAATAGTAAATGATGTGCGATCAAATTAAGAGTTACTATAGTTATTAATATTAGCGTGTCGTGTCGTGTCGTTAGCGTGATTACCGTTCAATAATAACACGCTGAAAGTCCCTGTCCACGAGTGCAATCTTCGCCATCTTCATGATTATGACAAGACGTGTCACATAATGGCAAGCATCTAGCAAGGGGTTGCATCCGCCGTACGCGACTCATGAGCGGAAAAGATACCAACTAATTGTATTGTTGCCGCTACCGCTGTTACCGGCGCGACCCCACCATTAACAAGTTGTCTATATTTCTCTGGCGGCTCTTCCAGTGTTCAGTTATGGCTGTATTCCTCTATATCGGTTTATCTATGTTTGAGCGTACGTGCGTGTGTGTCTTCATAGGCGGCAGCAGCGTCGCTACAACGACCACCAGCGCCACTGCCGCTGCAGCAGCCCCCATCTCAAAGTTATTGGCGCCAAGCTCAGTTTCGTTGTCGGTTTCCACCGCTGTGGAAGTATGATGGGCATGGGTGGCTGCGCATCTGTGCGTGTCAGTGTCACCCTAGACATCGTATCAGCTTGACTATCATAATGGTAGCTACTACTGACAGAGCATGCCAACGGTGCTGAGGTGGACGTTACTTCGAGACGATACGATAAGATGGCGGATCCGGGGGGTCACTGACCTCGGAAGACGATGGCGGTAACAACAACGGTGGAGAAAAATAATAGAAACATGATGACGGAATGAGCGATGCTCTGGGTCTGATCTGCTGTTGGCTAGCGACAGAAGGTCGAGAAACAGAAAAACTTCGTTCGTTCGGTCAGCGTTGGGCCGAACAATCCAGCTTTGAGCCATGACCGTCTTCTTCGATCTGGTCTGACCCGGCAGGACACAGCCACGATAGAAACAAAAAAACTCTAGCATTCTTGCGTCTAACAAGCGTCGCATCGAATCTTTGTGATACAAAAAGAAGAGAGCAAAAGGGATCGACGCTCCGAGACCGTCCGCCCCACTGCTGCCTGCCTGCCTGCCTGTCTACACTTGCATTCGCATTCGACCGACGAACATCTTATATGGCCTTCACCATTCCGTTTGACCGAGAAGGGAACTCGGCAAAACTTCGCAAAGTGTACAATCGATTTTATAAATGTAATGCATAAAAATAAAAGGAGCTGTATATAGTCCCATGTGGTTAGCAGATCGTGTTGCATGAAAGGTACGCACACTCGTGTTGGGTTCGTGGAATAGTGCAGATAACACACATCTATTTGCCTGCCATTTGCTTCAGATGCAGAACAGAAGAAACAGGTAATCAAGCTAGTTCAGCTGTAACTATCGACTGAAATGTATCGTTTACTATGCAAGTTCACTATAGACTGGTGGCTATAGCCAACTCCTGTAGTCTTAAGCCATACGAATATACTTTCTTCGATATTGATGGCAAAAGGTATATCCTTATTCTCATCACGCTTGTTGGGCAGTGCGCATATCGTACCATGAAACGATAGGCATCTGATAGGTCCATAGAATAACGCAATAACGTGCAACTATAAGGAGAAAGTGTAGCGAACGGTTTTCTAGAGCCAAGCTAAGGTTCACCCATATCGGTACCATGGAGTTCCATCGGGGTAACACTTCCCTGTTAAGAGTTACCTTTCGCTTCGTTCCCGAGGGTGCGATAATATAATCCGGGTGTTGGTTCCACACCTTCTTCACATTCGTTTCTTTTCTCGGATAAATCCAAAAGGGTCCACCCAGTAATTAGCTGACGCTCGAGGATCAACGTCATCATTGCGTAACTGTTCCATATGCGAACGCCAACGCAGAAATATAAATGCGATTGTTAGCTTGCATGAAGATATTTTAGGCGTCAACAACAACTGCGAGGTCGCCCTTACTGCTGTCACTACTGCCGCCGCATAGTTTCTTTGGAAAGAATTTTTCAACAATGTGACCGTGCTAATATACATACAAACGGATATCTGTGTATCTAGAGGTTTGATGATACACAAGTCCCATTCGAGAACAAAAGCTCCATAAGTAGGATCCCATTGTAATATTGTGGCTTTTGTATGTCTACTGTTTGCGATCGTCAGACACCGGCCGTATCGCACGCAGTTCGCAACTGCTGTCGCTGCGCTTTCTCCAACAGTCGCGAAGTTATACGATACGATCATCAAAAAGCTTCTAGGTCATTGCTACCGTCGTCACCTGGGCCCGTCGACGTTTACTACAAGTACTATTAGTACAACCATTACTAATATATACTTGATTAACGAAGCCGCTCGTTCTGCTGGGAACGCTGCTACTCAATTCATATGAGATGAGAAGAGTCAGCAAGCGAGTGAGACGGTCATAGCGAAATTGTAAATATAAGTACCCCGGCAACGCGAGAAATCACCAGGTAACGCAGGTGCAGAATCACCAGCGCCACCATCGTCGTCGCGACCCATCGACAATGCTAACTATTGACACCTCATAGACATCTCACAACCTGATTCACGCTGGCTGAGGGAACAAACTGCGTCTGCTAAGATGAACCGGTGGACGGACCGACTGACAATTTAGGGATAAACAGCAGCGCAGAGTAAATGGCAGGTAAAACAAGCACACTACCAGACGTCCAGCACCAGGAGCCAGATAAAGCAAAGGCAAGATCGACGGCATTTCCACGGCCGTCAACCGTTCCTACCGCCGCAGCAGTCCATGCTAGTGCTAACATCGCTCGTGTCGGTGTTGGTAAGCTGTTCACGCCGTTGCCTTTGCCGCTGTCCTCAACCAGTGAAGCCGAACGGCTACTGGCAAGGAGAAATACCAGCTGACAGGAGGCCATGTCACAGCACTCTGCCAGTCTGTGCTGATCGGCCAATAATACACATTGACGTTGATGTTCCTATTGATGAAGTAATGGATTCGCCCATGTTCATTCGTCTGGTTGCCTGCCGTAGGCACTATCGATGGTTGTTGCATTCACGTCGCCAAGGAGCCAGAAGGCCGGTCTGTCTGCAGCAGCAGTGCGTAGTACGACTTACAGAATCCACAATACTACTACAGCTGCACGCGCTAGGAGCTCCGATCGGACCTAAAGGTTTTCTAACATCAATCGACCACAAAACCGGCACTATTAGATTGAGACAAAAGGCAGTCATATAAACCGACCCCGCGGGACCGCTGTTTTGTTACAAAGGCAACGACGGTGGACGTTGAGAAGAACACAGAACCGCTATCACTAAATGACGGCCCCCAACATCGCTATGTATGCATAGACTGCTGAGAAATCAGACGTCAGGTGTTAGCGCATAGTTCAGACTATACGATCTGCTGCTCACAAACGTTTCAGTGAAAATGCTTCAGATATTGCGAAGTTACAATTGCATTCTTCTAGCATCACCACCATAAAATGTTTATTTTTTCTCTAATGATTCCGTCTTTCATCTTTGCGGCTGTATTTCTATAATACGCACTTAATTCGTCATCGGTTACGTCTTTGATCTAATTTTCCAGTATTGCGAACTTTGCTCGCATGACTTCAGTGGCAAACGCTGCGTGTTTCCGACTCGCCCGACTTCCCATAATCACTTTTTCTCCAAATCAAAATAAACCGCCAAAATGTCTGCTAGGCGCGAAACTCAATCCGACTCGCTAACGTTCGTGGATTTGACGTAACGCATGCGAAATATTTTAAAAACGACGCATCGCCTTTTCTAGGGAGTCTAACGTATTCCGCTTTAGATCAGCAGACACAATCACAGCCTACATTCATTTGAAGAAATCGAGCGTCAGACGTCACAGCGGTCAATGGAGAGTTTGTTCGTAGCTTCTTCTTTCAGTACGGAGTTAGTCACATAATTAATTTCGGTTCAGGACACACATTCAGAGCGTTCGATGTAGTTTGCCAAATACAGTCAACAATAGCTGCTCTATTTTTTGAGCCCAGAAGTATTCCCTCATTCGGAAAAGGGTTAATTAGTTGTCGTTGCACTAACGGTTAGTCACCTATACCGCATGGCGTTGTCGGCAACATACAATCTGAATTTGATTGCCTCCAGCTTTCTCAGAAGACCTAAAGAACTTTTCCTCTATTTCTTAGTTAGACCCGATAGTATCGAATAGTAATATTAAAACGATCTCGAGCCACCTTCCTTAGATTATTTGGTCAGACTGATGATAGCTCCGTCATCAGATTTTCATTAAACTATGGAGCGGTAACTTGGTTATAGTGACGATGAAACATGATTGACTACTTCAAAGCACTTTCTTCAAAATGTATATATAAAGCTATTAAACTTTTGTGCGTTCCCCACAGTAGCGTCATTACCGTTGTCGTCACCTTGTGCATGTTTTCTTTACCAACTAATGCTACCGAGCTGTGTTGGCTGTAACGCTGACGTGGGTGACGACTTCTGCGACCGCCTTCACCGTTTCGTCTAAGCTCATTCCGGGTCATCGGCGATGATCGCGCTGGCGTTCGTAGCTTTCGAATATGGCTTTATTTCCTTTTCTTGACATAGAGTAATAGTCTTTTGCTATTACGAAGATCATAATGATTATTCTAGTCGTATTAAGAATAATAATGGTGTCACAATATTTACTTTGCCTCAGACACAGCCATTGCCAATATATTTGACGAGTTGCTTTCGTATTATGCATCATATTCTTAACTTTCCTGCATTCCTCAATTCGTTTATTGTTCCCAGAAGAAGAAACGCTTCACCTGAAGCTGCTTGACAACTCTTTTTCCGTGTGCCACAACAGAAGGCGAAGACAGGGAATGCAACTAAGGAAAACTCAAGTCCCAGCCGGTGCAGCGGGGACTTTATCATGATCATCATGACGAACTCCCAACTATCTACCAAATGCCGCATCCACGTCGGCGTTGACCCTCGTTCTGCTGAGGGTGCGCTGCTTCGAGTGCTGTTACTTCCATCACTGCTACCCCGGCTGTTAGCAATAGATCGATTTTCCAGTAGCGATCATGATACGCCTGGAATGGGTGGTGGCAGAGCGACGTTGTGCTTCAACACGGAACGGCGCGTTTGACGGGAACTGCATAGGGTAAGGGTTGACAGATACAGGGTTCGACTTTTAGGCGGCGACGTGAGCGTTTGTGCAGAGCTGTAGTGTCTACGTCAGTGGTTATAGGGAGGTTTTGCTGTTCCTGCTAGTGGAATCGGGGGCTGGAACAGGTATATTTTTTTTAACTGACAATGCTATGTCACTCCCAATAAATAGGTAGCTTTAATGTTGAAAATTGCACCGTACGACTTGCAACGTTACCGCCAACTTGCGTTCAATAACACCAGTGAACGAGTGAAGCTTCCAATGGTTCAACTTAACTACTGACACTTACAATTTTTTAGTAGTTTTAAGCGAGCTGTCGTCAACTAAATAAAGTTGTTGTCTATGATCTCTGGTGCATAGCAAACCTCAAAATTTACCGCAGCTCCGAGTTCAGTTTGGCCGGACTGCCCTGACCCAATTCGTAAACCACGGTTGTTTTCTTGGCATCATATATAGTGGGAAAAATGTTGTCGATTCATAATATAATCCATCAGGATAAAAAAAAAGGAGTTAACACAGTTACTTATTTGTATATATACGTTTTTATAGTTGAGTAGAGATAAGGTTATACATCAACTTTGCGCAAGCATCGATTTTTCGAACGCACTCGAGCCAATCTCAAGCCGTTCATTGATATAATCTTCACAAAACAGTTCGTTCGTCTTTAGGGTAAACCGTATACAGATTTTGTTAATTGGGTTAGTAATCTTTCTTTAGAGATCAAAAACATAATATGAGGGTTTACCACGTTCACATTAAGAACGCTTTTACAATTGTTCTCAAATAGACAGCCACGAATATCGGTATGGTAAAGCAAAACAATGAATCTGCCGTCCGAATGAGTTACCTAACGAGTCGATTGCATATGTATGTGTCATACCAAATTTTGAACTTTGTTTAAGTTACTCCATTGAAGGGGCCCCGAATATTTTGAGATTACTTCTTTTACGCAAGATAGGAGGATAGGAGATAAGAGAATTTTCTGCTTTCAGCAGACCACCTACGGCGTCATGTTCTGTCGCGGTCATCTGGGTAATGCAGTTTTTTGCGCCGACGACTGTCACGCCATCATTACGGTAACTACTCTCATATCCCGCTTCCAGAGATCCGTCAAATTGAGTTAAATCGAATTTCACCGCGCTCGTTTTAGATCAATGGCGGCCAACGGAACCCACAAATAGATGTTTGTCGGTGCTGTCAAACGACAACGATGACTATTCGTGGCTAGCTCATAGTGTCGGCTCATCTTGGCACAAGCGAGTTTTGGTCGAAGCAGCGAAATGAGGCTGCCTACCGACGGAATTAGCAGCGTGGTCGCAATGCGATAGACAGAAGATGAACTCATCAGAACTTATCGCCAACCACCTATCCAACCAACCAGCGTCGAACGACTGGTTTATTTGTGCGACGATGCGGAAGCTTACTAGACGTGTGGGGGAACGGCACCTTGCTCTCGCGAGCAGTCAAAATAGTGCCACCAGTATAAGCAACAATGAAAAACAGCAGCAAAGCCATTCCAGTCAGCGGTTGGCGACGAAAGGGCTCTCGGACTCATTCACTCAGGGTAAATACTTGTGCTGCTGTTGCTATTCGTGCTGATCGGGCAGCCACCATCAGCTACAGTACTCTGATTTAATATTTATAATGCTCACCTAGGCAGGCCCACCGGCGTAGCTCCACGACATGAGGATAATAGGGATGTTTGCGAAACAAGACGCCTGCCGTAGCACCGCGTCAGCGGACTACTACGATCGACAGTGGCTATTGCTACGCAATAGTGTAGGCCTCTAGCGAAACGTACGAGGGGTTAGTTGGTTGCCTGAAATGCTTGCGTATGCCTGCTCAGACAATGAGTTCGCTTAGCTCGTTTCCGGTTTGCATATATAGTATCGCGCACGTAGAACAGTCATCAGTCAACGCCTACTGACAATGTAACGCCCAACCACTGACGGAGGCTCCTGGTATTGAAACGCGATTTCAAAGCACAATTTTGTTGCTCCAGCAACGAGCCTTTGTTTGAGTGGCTGGGCAAAGGGTTACAGGCGGCCAGCACAAAACGGGAATGGTCGAAGAAAATCTCGGTCTTTGTTGCAACATCGATGGTCAGTGATCGTACTGTTGTGACCGCGAAAGACACCAAAGCCAGGACATTTTCGATGTCTTCGTCGGCACTGTTCACTCGGATAGCTAGCTGCCGATTATTACCATAACAACAAGGTTCCTCTACGCCAATCATTACAACCTATAGAAAATCAGCGGCAGCACGCCATTTCGGCCGCAATGGCTTGCTGCAACGACCTCGAGGAAGTTACCAATGCTATCTCAATGCTGCCCACTGCTGTTACTGCTGGCACGAAACGCGGACGAGCCCGCGAACTTGTGGGATTATGGATCGCGTCGACCCATAGACTTGCACATCTGCAGTGTCCGTCAGCAGCAGGTCACCATGAGTGTGACTCTAAACCGTGCTTGGCCGGCATCTAAAACAGGATGCAATGGAAGGAGGAATGTAGGCTACTGGTAATGGCCATTGTTCACAAATTTACTCGTGAAACCGGTTTCGAGTACAGTGGTGATTGGATTGTATGGCGATTGGGCAGTGAGCAATGTGTTTTTGTTGCTAAAACAAGAATAAGAGCTTTTAATTAACGAGATAATGTCTTTGTTACGAATGTCAGACTATGGCCTTAAGCATTAAACAGTCCTGTTAATAGATTTCGGCTAATTATAAAAACCTGCTAATAGATTTCTGCTAATTATAGAATATATTTTCTGTATCGTATAGTAATCATTGAGAAGTCATGTTTGTGAGAGACATCTCCATATACCTGCCCGTATATACGCAGCAAACATCACCCTAGCAGTGGCGGTAGCAGCAACCACCGAATCTATCTTACCCCAGTTCAGTTGGCAGAATGGGAAGGCAGAGAGTCTTCAACAACAAACATAATAACAAAAACATTTTACACTCATTACCGCAGTCTACTTCATCACCAACACAACGCCACAGAGTCGTTTACAAAATCACCGATGAAATGAATATGTGACCAGGAAAGACGCGAAGGCAGGTGGTATACGGAGGGAAAGAGCTTCATATCCATGGATACGCCCAAGATCTATCTCATCAGTTTTATCCTGCCATATCATCTCGAAGAATTCAGTAGTACGGGGAGCCAATGCACTTTGTACCATTAGGTATGCAGGTATTGACATAGAGATCTGCCTGAGACCAGGCCTAACGCTGTCGAATTCGTAAAACTCTTGTGCTGTTTTGATGACTCTCCTCTGTTTTGTGTATGTGCTTTTCCCGACACCCACCCACTATAAGGCCTCGAGCAACTGTGATGTAGTGTGTTCATTAGAGGTTAAGACCTACTATTGGATCAGGTTTCTCCGCTTTTCCCATCTCTCAGGTTCGTTTTGTGCGTCCGGCTTTTGCATATATATAGGTAAGCCCTTCCTGGAGCGCCAGAGTAGGAGACGACGACTCAAATAAGAGCTCGCATTTCGCCTAGGACTATGTTACCCCGTACCGTTGGAGAGTAGCGTTACGAGCACTTCCCATAATACACACCGTTTTTCCCTCTAATGTAAGACCTATATATGATACTTTTCCCTTTGCATTAGTCGATGCATGCATTATACAGCATCGTAGCACGGTCAAGGGATGAAACAAACCCGAAATTGCTATTAACCATTCATTAAACGATAGCGTATTGCTGAAGTTTAGTAGTACTCTTCATTTAATCGACTAAGAGTAATCAGTACCATCAACCCACTGTGTGCTCTTTCTAGAACCTGCCAGCATTCTCACGAACTACGGTGTTTCTGAACCTTGACCACTCCTCAGCGGCCGTGCTGTCTGATGTTCGATACATATACATCCTAATTCTCGGATGCTAGAAATCACAACGGTGCAAACCTACACGGTATCGATCGCAGCAGTGCAGATGGATTGTGTTTCATGATACTGTATGTGCAATTGCTTTTTTCCTTGTTGAATGCGTTGGGTCCCATCCAGGCAGTAAAGACCCAGCCGCCAGCCAGCACCTGCTGGCCGGCAACAACGAGGTAGCACTACGATATGAAATGGGATAATATAACATGGCATCCAGTCTCCACCCAATGGCATCTCGTGGCCCAGTTTCGTCACGGCGACTAATAAATAAATGCTTCGACGGGCTTCACGTCTGGAATCTTCCCTAGACATTAACTACATCATACGAATGATTGACTTCTCCCTAGCACGACGAGCATACCGTCTACTCCACGTGTCTAGCCTTCGCCTCACATAGTTTATAGTAGGCAGATACGTTACCATTAAACCATCACAGAGATTTATCATTTTTTACCGACATCGGTGTTAAGTTCAACCAACATTTTGTCTTTGTTTCTGTTGAAAATTTTCTAGCAGCAAACCGCATGCCTGGAAGGATAAAATTATTTTCTGCATTTTGCGGTATCCAGCCTCATCGATCTAGGTGTTCGTCTCTATAGGTTTGAGGACAACTGCATTACTCCTACGCCCATCACCCTAGCCCTTTTCAATGGAGTTAGTCCCAGCTTTCTTGATTATTGTGGTTTTGGGTAATAGTATGTCTGTTGTGGTCGTATAGTTGGTTAGTCGTTTTCTATTACCATTCGTCTAATGGCGGCAGTGATGCTGTACGGACAGGGGTACACGAGCGATAAGAAACAGTCTGTCGCCAACCCACTTTTAGCCAGTGTTCCTAGTCTTGCTGGCTCTTTCCTACGATTCAGAGTCTTGCCTGCGCCTCTACCGCGCGGTTCATGGGCAAGAGCAAAACGGCTAAAGTATTTCTATGGAGTCTGCTTGCCAATGACGAAGCTTTTTGCTCGGTCTGTGCTTATGCCGTGTCTTCCGCGGTCCGAACATAAAGACACCCTCTCTCCAACCAGTCGACAGGATCTAGCTCATTCGCCTGTCTTCGAGGGATGTGCGCCTCCTCCCATACTGTGTTCTCCTACCCACC